GCCATGGCGGAGCGGCCTCCGTGGCCCTGGCCCCGGCACTCGGCCCAGCACTCGGCCCGGCCTCTACGGCCGGATCCCTATAACCCCCCCCCCAAAAAAAATCCTTGATGAAAATTTTGGCTTCTAAGGCCCTCCATGGGCCTGACGTAGGAGCAGCGGTCCTCCCTGGGCTTGACTTAGGGGCTGGAGCCCTCCTTGGGCTAGACATGGGGGCTGGAGCCGACACTGGAGCGGGCTCAGGGCGAGGATGAGGGCGGAGAACAGTCCTTTTCTCCTCATCCTCCTCCTTTGGTTAGGGGAAAATGAAGCAGCCGGCGGGCTTGACTTCTGAGCGGCCGGCGTGCTTGACTTTGGAGCGGCCACCTTCTCTAGGCTGAGGACTGGGATGGTGCTGGGAGGATCTGGGTGGTCGAAGCCATTGGCCAGGCATGTGGAGGATCCCGGCGTGGGGTGAGCTGTCGAGGCCCGGTGGTTTTCAGGAGGGGCTGGATGAGGAAGGTCCATTACTTCCTCTACCTCTACTTCGGAACCATTTAAATAGAGAACGAGGTTAATCAGCTCGAACAAGGGAAAATCACACGCAGTGGATCGTGGTTTCATCCAGCCCCAGCAGAAAACAGGCACCGAGTGCGGCGTCGTGCCAACTCACCCAGTTGGAGATCCTGAGGAATTCCCCCACATACCTCTCCAAAGGCCGACCACCCTGCCGCAGGCACCACAATTGATCCTCAGCCACTGTCATCGTTATAGGTTCGGTATTCTGTCGCCATCAGCTGCTGTGTTGGAGACGAGGAGACGAAGGAGCACGGAGACGAAGGGGATTAACATGTAACACTCTTTATTAATCTAAATACAGGCAGGAGCACACACGTAGAACGAGGGGTTGACGAACAATACCAAACAGGAAACAAGGGTCAGAACATACTTTATATACATGACAAGCCGAGGGACACAACGAGGAACACCTGAAATCAATAAACAATCAACATGAGGGAGAAACTGGGTCATGGGGATCACATGGGGCACATGGGGGAGGAAAACAAACACAAAACAGTCCAAGGGCGTGACATATATAGAGTATATATAAAAGTAAATATTAGAATTTTAAGTTTACTATAAAATAATTGTTGTTTTTTTTTTTTATATGATAGTCATCACACTTTATTATTTTGTTTATTATTTAAAAAACGAAATGAATAAAATGCAATAATATTATTATCGCGATTATTATTTTTTTATTGTTATATTTAATGGGTCACGCTATGGGAAGTGTGAGGACCAAACCAAATCTCCAGGTGCTCTTATGAGAACCAGGCTGAAAAACGTATGTGCACCCCTGATTATTAACATACATGTAACATATATTACATATTACATACATTCATATATTACAGGTCCTGCAGATTTGCTTTATTCAACATCAAGAAGATCAGGCCCTTTCTTTCGGAACATGCTTCACAACTCCTTGTTCAAGCTCTTGTTCTGTCCAGGCTGGACTATTCACTTTTACGGACTTTTAAATTAAATGTTCCCTCCTGGTGGAAGGACCTGCCCAACTCAATCCGAGCAGCCTTCAAAAATCGGCTACAAACACGTATCTTCCATCTTTATTTGACCCTCTAACTCTAGCACTCTCTATTCTAATTCTATTATACAATTAGCAAAAGCAAAAAAGACATCTAACACTAGCTTGCTGCATTCTTTTTCTATTCTATCTGTTTTCTTTTTATTTATTATATTATTTAAAAAACACTTGCGTACTGCGTTAAGCTAACTGAGACTTGTTATAGCACTTGTATATCATTGCTCTTTTGTTGATTTTGATTGCTTCCATTGTCCTCATTTTTAAGTTGCTTTGGATAAAAGCGTCTGCTAAATGACTAAATGTAAATGTAAATATATTATTATATTACTAAAGCATCCAATATTTATGTAAAATGGGGATGTTTTACATGCCTAAAGCAAATAAATCTCACCCTTTTTACATAAACAAAAATAAACCATAAAAACTTTCATTTTGCCACCACCTTTCAAGTGCATATCACTATGGATTACATGTAATTACACGTACGTTTCTTGCACAGAACAATTGTTAAAACTGAATATATCGTCATGAGCCACAGGTATTAATTTTGTGTTCCTTGATATGCTTTTTTTTATTTTTAAAAACGTGCAGCTGTTAACTTGCATATTGTGTATCTCCAAGGACCATGGTTTCAGTTAAAGATCTTCTTTACTGTTCAACTGAAGAAAAAAGTCACCTACATCTTTGTACATCTCAGTAAATTTTCACTTTTGGGTGAACTACCCCTTTAATACTGGGTTTCGGTACCCATAGTAATAATGTTATAACGAGTTGAATGAAACAGCAAAATCTGAGCTAATCAAAGTCCTTTGTGAAGCAGGATTTTGAACCAATGATGTTTCACTGTGGGCGGTGTTACCCAGACCAACATAACAGAAATAAAATCTAAACTTCTGACAAAATCCATGCTCCCAAATATGTGTCTTTTCCATACTAAGCAGCATACAAAAAAAAAAAAAAAACTATTTCAAATCTTTAACCCTCTGGGGTTGACAAATGCGCCCATACGTTTTGTGGCATTTTTTCCAGATAGAAAGGAACTTAAATTACTCCATCATTTTTGATCATACAGATAAGAGCCATACATCATTCAAATGATTTAATGATCAAAAAAAGGTCTTCCTTTTTTTTGTATACCTACACTCATAATAACAATAAAATGCTGTGCTTTTGTAAAATTAAGAAAACAAACAGGGTGTGCTTTCAGCCGTCTCAGTCTCTGTGAACAACATTTTGAAAAAATAAACTAAACCTCAGCAAATACTTGACACACAGACATGATAAATATATGTATAGACAATAGAAGCTTGAAGTGTCTTCTTTTAAATAAAGTAAGTCATGTTCGAAGACAAATATTCTATTACAAAGAATATGTGTAAGAATATTTATAAAGAATGAAATGAAACTAACTCAAGGTCCAGTCTTTCCCGTCTGAGCTCATTATCTGTAATATGATCATGCTCACGAGCCGAGCGAGCTTGACAATCATCCACGTGAGACACGCGGACATGTAAACACCCACATCACCTCCGTAAACAAATGTGAACATTCAAGTTCATCTCGACTACTTTTCGTTTCAGGAAGAAAATAAACCAGAATTAAATAAACTGAGAGAAATAAACCAGAATTTACCTCAGAAGAAGAACACAACGTGATGCGTGGTTTGATCCAGCGGAGGAGATCATTTACATTAATAAGTCTTTTTTTTATTACTTGATTAATTATTTGATTAAATATCAGGTATGGTTTACTTGTTTCAACATTTGATCAGGATCTGTTTCAGCAATGGCACAAAGGTGTGTCACTGTTCAAGTCTCTGTCTTTAGATCAGTGTGCCCAATAATCTGTCTTTGACCTTCATTGTGTATATTTTGATTATACTGTGTTGTAAATAAAATACAAATAAGCAAAACCCCCATTATTTTACTCTCCTCACATTCTTTCTTACCTGCCTCACAGTCACAGTGATGGCCCATTAGGGGAGGGCCCTTTGTCTCAGCTGTGAATCACTATTAACTGCTTACAAATTATTGTAGCACAGTTTGATGATTACAGTGTAATCAAACTTTAGCCATTAATATGTTTTTAAGATACTGAAAAAAGCACAAATGTCAGGGAATGTCAAAATTTCTCCAGAACCCCAAAACCCCTTAGACTCCAGAGTGTTAAGCCATGGATATACTCACAGTGAAGTTCCTTTTTATTCTTTATTTAGGAGTAAAAAGAAGTTTGAACTTCCTTCACAGCAGTACACTGTTAGTGAACATCCCTATGCCAACCACATTGCTGAGACACTTTAATTTAAAGCAGCTCACCAGTGTCTATGTTTTTACTCAGGAAATGAACCATAGATTTCCACGTCAAAGAAGGCGGAGCCCCAGAGCACACCTACCTATTATGTAATCGCCACGGACCAATTGTAGTTTGTAGGTGTTTGCCAGTTGGAGCAAACTTTTCTGAAAAGCTCTCTTTGGCAGGCTTTTTCAAACTTCCAAAACAAACTCCAAACAAACTTCATTTTGGCCTGATTTTGTTCAAAATGATGTCACACCACTTCGTTCTTCGATTTCGCTTTAAATATATCAGGACTTAACTCCAAACAAACTTCATTTTGGCCTGTTTTTGTTCAAAATGACATCACACCAATTCGTTCAATTTAGTAATAATTTAAGTATATTGAGGCCTTTAAGATGGCTATATACACAGTATTCATGAAACAGCGCATGAACAACAAACATTAGTAATGACTTGTGCACCAAGTCTGTCCACAGTCTAAAGGTGTGGTCACATTAGCAAAGTTATGGTAAAATTTCACTGGCAAAAAAGGTCTATAGTCTATTGTCAGTTGTGTAGTGATGCATGAAGAATAACGCTCACACAGAAGCCACTTTCTAACCATGCAGCCATGCAGGGAATTTGTGTGACCAACTTGAACATGAGCAAACTTTTTTGCCCTTACGCAAAATGACTGGATTTCACACACAAAATTTCACAGAGCAACAGAAAATGTGACTGCACTTTAATATCTTATTAGACCGTCCAGTTAAATATTCCACCATTAATAAAGTCTTGCTTCCAATCACATTAAATTTGAGTTCATGTAGCATCAGCTGGTCTAAAGTCTGTTTCCTATAAAGTTCATGGCCTGTTTAATTTGGTGAAGTTCTTTTATTTTTTGTGAAAGCAATGTCTGCCAGAGAGCTAATTTATAGTCTGTTTGTTCAAACTAGCTATAGAGCTAGATTGAACAAACAGATCAACTCAGCTATTTCCTGCACTTTTCACCATTTCTAGTATAATATGAAACTATAACAAAGCAGTTACCTAAAGTAAATAGGCAAATCAGTCCGGATTGGCTCAGCTTGTGCATGTGCGTAGGTTGAAAGCAGAAGCGTGCAATAAGATGACTCCTTACCAGTTCCACATGTGGCGCTGCATTCAGTCCAAGCCCCATAAATCCACTGGAAATAAGAGACAGCAGTGCCATTGTTGGAGTCGACAAGAATGTCTCTGCTTATGGTGTACTCATACCTCACCCCTGGATTGGTCTCTTGAAAAAGCAGCTGGAGAACATTGAGGGCAGATTAAAGAGAAACCTTGACACATCAACACACAAACAACATACAAACCCATAAATCTCATACGTAGCATCTAGGGCAATGGGCATATAATCAGATATCAATTTGTCAGGATTCTATGTATTGGTATAGGTTATTTTTTTAATGAAAAGGGTCAAATTAATGAAGTAGCAGTTTTTACAAATAAGCAACCAGATTTTGAAAGTTGTGAAAAAAAAATGTCAGAAAACTACAAGTCAAATGCTATACATTAAGTACCAGGAAAGACTGTGGTTAATTTTCTTGTTTAATTTCATAATATTAGCAATGATCAATACGTTTGTCATTAAATATTGTACACTGAAAAGTATGCAATATCTCTTATAATTTATTTTTATATATTTTTAGCACACATTTCAATTACAACATTGTCATACATTGCACCTTAACTAAATTTTGACTGTATGAATGTATTTTATTGTGAGGCAGTTGCCAGCCCATAATGTAAAGTGTTACATATTTTGGTGTTGAGACCAGCAACTACTGTAAAATATTTGAAAATGTGAAATCTGATTGGTGGTATAAAGTAGTACAAGATTTTTCCCCAACAGATGAACCGACATATAATTATGACAGATTTTTTTGTCTTTGCACAGCAGAACAGTAAAACCCAAAAATTGAGGTTGTAAGCTGCTATCTTCCACATGGGATTTAAGAATTTGGAGAGTGATAAGAGAATATTTCATTTGTCTGCCTCCCGCTGCTGTAGACATCCTTCTTTCTCCACCCGCGCAAAGGCTGCGAGCCAAAGGCCTCGAATCGCTCTGTGGGAGGAGGTCCACAGAGGTCAAGAAGGCCCCTCTGCTACACATACTAGCCTAAATCCCTAATAAACAGTATCTTCACTTTAATGGTGCTACAACATGAAAACCATGGCTACTGTAATCATAAAACTCAGTCCGCTAATGATTACAATTTGGAATAAGCCTTTTATGCAATAAATTCAATTATTAAATCCACTAAATCTTCAAATATATTTTGCTTTTTAAACAAGGAATGGAATAAAATCATACATTAATCTTTTGTTACTGAAAAAGATCATAAAGCTACTTCCTGCTGAGTAGAATTTTATGCAAATACATTGGATTAAGCCTTTGATTTCACTTTCCCTGTCAGATAAAGCTGTTCTGTTTTCTCAATTTAAATATTTACTGGTGAAGGAGGATGCCATACATTTATGAGTATATTTCTTTTTAGAAATCTTTACATAAGCAGTTAATGCTCTGTGCTCAGAGAAATTTGCAGATTTAATTATTCATAAAGAATAGGCCTGTTCTCCATTAGTGTTTGAAGTGGTAAATGTTTCCATGGTTAATACAGTCTGTTCTCTTTTTTCATAAAAGAAGTTGTTTGTATATCTTTCCATGCAACAAATGTGAGACGTTAAATTATAATGTATACCATTTTAGGTCTCTATTTAAACTCTAAACCACATTTCAGGCACAGATTCACTAAACTGTGACCTAGTTTAGCAGAGCACTTTAGCAGGTGCCTGTGAAAAGAGACAGGCCTCAAACATCACATGCTAGATTCTGCTCATAAGCAGCATGTGAGACATCAGCATGGGACTGAGTACCTGGATCCACACTGGCTCCATAGTCGGTCCGGGAGAAGATAGGTTTTCCAGCTGCCCGGTCCTTTCGTAAGTAAATACAGTTCCTGCTGCTTTATACTCGCCATTCCACTGGATCGTCCAGCCACCGTTCAGGAAATATTTTTCAGGGTCATTACTGCGCAATGCCAAGTAGTTCCCAGCCTCTGCGACTTCCTCGATACGGATGTCCCGTGCTCCTTCCGGAATTAGACCTATGTCTACATAGCCTGAGAGACAAAAATTACCTCAGCTTATTCAAACAAATAAAGTAGAAATAAAACAAACATGCAATGTTATATTTACAAAATGAATGCTGCTTTGAGTAAAATATAAACTGAAACTCATTTTACAAACCGAGCCCTTCACTCTCCTCAAAGGTCTTCCTCACTGTTTCGCACGTAGATCCATTTCCATGGCACACTCCACACTGATCCTCAACAGCATCTGAGTCAATCTCATAATCACAGCCTAAGTACTGACATGAAGAGACAGATCATAAATTTACCTCCGCAATTAGACTAGAGTGATGTGAATTATTGTGATATTTTTCTCTCATTCTGACAGCAACCATTCACTGCAGAGGATCCATTGGTGAGAAAGTGATATAATGTTAAATTGCTCCAAATCTGTTCCAATGAAGGAACAAAATCATTTACATCTTGGATGGCCTGAGGGTGAGTACATTTTCAGCTAATTTTGATTTTATATACTGTATAAAGTGTAGTACTGTGCAAAGGTCTTGGCCACCACCAGCTTTGTTGTTTTTTGCTAAATTTGAATTACCATATATTTACTTTTCTTTACAAACAGAACATAAAGAAAATATGTACAATACATTTTAAACCACACTGTTTCCATAACAAACAGGCAGAAGTCAGTATTTAGTGTGACCTCCCTTATCACTATGTACATCTTCAACTCTTTTGGGGAGACTGTCCTGAAGTTTTCTGGAGTAATCTTTGATATATTATACCAGGCTTCTTTCAGCACTTCCCAGAGTTCTTCTTTAGAGTTAGGCTGTCTTTGATCTCTTTCTCTGTCCAGGTGATCCCATACTGCCTCTATAATATCAGGTCTTTTTTTATTTATTTATTCTGGTCTTTCAATTCAAAACACATTTAATATAATTATGCAAATGAACATTTCCTTTAAAGATAATATTTTTTACCAATAGTTATTCCTCATTTTCCTTCTACTTTCTCTTCTGTTGACTTTTTTTCCCCTTTTGTGATAATATATATATATATATAATACTTTAGTATAATATTCAGGTCTGGACTCTACAAAGGCCAGTCCATGATTGTCAGTGTTTTATCAGCTGTTTTTCTTTCCAAATATAATTTCACTGTAGCAGTGTGCTTGGGATTATTATCATGCGGAAAAATAAATTCACTCCCAATCAGGCACTTTCCAGAAGGAATGGCATGACAAATTAAAACCTGTCTGTACTTTTCAGTATTCATGATCCCATCAATTTGGACAATATCGAACCACTGGCAGAAATGCAGCCCCAAACCATGATAGACCCTCCACCATGTTTTACAGAAGGTGGCAAGCACTCATTCATCCATCTCTCTCCAACTCTTCTTCTCACATATTGTTGATGATTGGATCCAAAAATTTAACACTGGGATTTGTCACGCCATAATACTTTTTTTTCCACTTATCTTCATTCCAATCTTTGTGAGCGTTAGCATATCGTAGCCTTTTCGCCCTATTCTCCTTCAAAAAAGTGGTTTATTGGATGCTACCCTTCCACAAAAAACACTCCTGATCAAGCTTATTCAAACTGTAGAAGGGTCAACTTGGCATCCCGATGAAGCTGCCAGATGCTGAGGTAGGTCCTTGCTGGCCTTCTTCTGGCCTCTAACAGAAGCAACTGAGAAACTTCTCATCAGATTTTTGAAGTTTTCTAGGCCTTCCAGTTCTTTTTCTGTCCTTGAGCTCTTCTGATTCTTCAAATTTCTTGAATACCACATCTTGGGTATCCAGTTTGTTGCTGATTTCCCTTTGAGAGTGGCCTTGCTGATGCAAAATTACAATTTTATGTCTGTCTCATTCTGTGATCTTTGGCGTTTTGAATGGAATGATGTTACAGAGAGTTGGTGTTATTAGCAAACAGCTAACTCCTACATTGTGTAATGATCAAGCATGTCTTTAACAAACCTGGTGTAAAACACCTTTTTGACATGAGATAGCAGGTGTTCGCAATGACATTAATTAGGGAGGTCACACTAAACACTGGTACTTTAGTCTATAGAAGTTTTTTTTTTTTTGCATACAAACTTCTTGTATTTTCTGGTTGTATTCTAATAAAGAGACTGAGACATAACTATATATGGTCATTATACTATTGCTATAACAACAAATCACAATTTTAGATTGACTAAATGTAATACTGTAGAAGATTTGCATTTGAACTGAAAGCATAAATCTAGGCTATGCGTTGACAGTTTCAGAGAAAACACAAAACTGCAACATTTCATTCACTGACACACTTCACTCAAACATGTGCTAAGAGTTCATTTAAAGTAATTTTAAGTGCTTAGAAAATTAACAATTCTCCTCAAGAAATTTCCACAGTTTTACTGTCTACAGCAGATTCACAGGGCTATGGGATGGTTCAGTGAAACTAAAAATGTTTGCATGTCAACTAAATATTTAATTCCTTTATTGTATAAATGAACAAAACCAGGTAACACTTTATTTCGATAGTCCACTTTAGACATTCTATTAACAGTAAGTAACTTTGCAACTACATGTCAACTAGCAGTTAGTAGAGTATTAGTAGACTGTCTGCTTAATATCTTCTAACACTTTCTTTGTCAACTTATTCTACTAACCCTAAACCTACCCTAACAGTCTACTCTGAGAGTTAGTAGACATGTAGTTGCAAATTAATGATAATTAGTTGACATGTAGTTACAAAGTTACTTATAGTTAATAGAATGTCTAAAGTGGACTATCGAAATAAAGTGTAACCCAAAACCACATTGAAAACAATAGCTTCCTCCTCTGTATTTAACAATACCTTGTGTAACTTCCGCCTGGGGTCATACAAGGACTCATTCAAATATTTATTTGAATTAAGTTTGAGAAGAACAGAGTGGAAGATTGTTCTCATGATTTCACACCCCACTGTTTTTGTGAGACTCTTGTGGTATTATTTCACAATAGACTGACACTCAAGCTGACAGACCGTCAATGGTTTACAATGAAAATGACAAGCAGAAATTTACATGGACCGTCTGAGACTGAGCAAAGAGGTCAAAGCCATTACCAACCTTACAAATGCCGTTAATGCATATGTCACGGCTCTGACTGCCTTCATAGCACTGTGTTCCGTCTATGACAGTGTCCAGCATTCTCTCGGAAAAGTGCTCATTCACAGGTCTACAGTGCAGCTCACACGGATTAACTGGAATGACACAAACATATCCCTTCTGTGATATCTATTTAAAGAGTGCTGCAACAATATAACTCTCTCATGAAGACGTGAATGGCACATGTCTGCACATATAATGCCATAATGCGCACCTCTGTTATTTACATGTATCCATTTATAAAACTTTCCCTTATATGGGATTGTGTTAAAGCGGCTGCACTGGATGTGTCTGAAGCTGGTCTGGTCCGCAGGGCAGGGGTCACGGTTACAGGTTCGATATCTGCGGCGCTCTCCAAGACAGTATTTACCTCCATACTTGGGCCTGAAAAACAAATGCATGAAACATTTAAAATACCATTAAGTCATTTAAAATCTGCATATACAACATGTTTATGTATACATATCAACAAGAAACTAAATAATAAAAACAATACAAATATAAACCACTAGCAAGTCAAAAAGCTTAAAAAGTGGTATAAAAAGAAAAGAATGTGGTTGCCAATGTCTTTTTGGCTCCGTACACATGATTTGATCAATGATTTGAGATATTTGATTTTGTGAACTTTTGCGAACTTGTGAACCCCACTGGCTTCCAAATATCTTCAGTTTGGAGTGGTGTGAGGTTGAGCAAATGACAGATTTTTTTTTTTTTTTTGGTTGATGATTGACCAAACAGGTATCCCAGTAAGATTTTTTAAAGATTTTTTTATTATTATTATTCTGACTTGCTGGTGAGAAACAAATGCAATTTGCTTATTAACCATAAACATGCTAGTCTTTTCCCATACAGTCTATGATACAAAATAGCCTTCTCATAGTTGTGTGGGTTTCTGGATGGTTGCTAGGTGGTTTCCAAGCAAACTCAAAAGAGCCCACCTCCATGCATTCGCAAGCTAATTGTGTCCAAACAGGTCTCCCAATAATAATGCCCACCCTTATCTACCACTGTTCAGGTAAACATGTAATTCTGCTTGAAACTCACACCATTTGTTGAGCCAGAAACTGTCATGTGTTTTTGAAGCATGACATATCCACCTACAAGTGGCTTACTCATATTTGTACCTGTACATTAAACTGGGATAGGATACAGTATTTTAGCATCAAATCACATGCTTAAGGGTGTAAGAATATTTATGCCAAAATTAAGTTTGTAAGAATATTTATGCCAAAATACATTCAATTAACCCAGAATATTGTGCATTGACTACTAGAAGCCTCCCAGACACAATCAAAACATTTACTGTAGAGTGGTTCGCTCAGATCCGGCAATCTCTTTCAAGCAATAGCGAGAGTTTAGTGAGTGTCTACTGTAGCAGGCTGAGCCAGAAGGTGTTGGGATCATGGCTGATACCTTACATTGGAAAAGAATTCAGATTCAGGTTACAGAAGTGCTAACCAAAATTTGAAGACTTGCGATAATATGCAGAAACAGGCAAGGGTAAAGCAAGAGTAAACAACTTGGTGATTTTACAAGATGTAGAAATATGATGGAATGTTTAGGTTTCAATTGAGACACCAAACTTGCAGAATTCCGTTTCAATAGGTAAGATAAAATCTAAATGTTTTTTCCACAGATGCTAGCTCTTTACTATAAAGCCCCAGATAAAATTGTAAGAATAAGGTAAGGGCATGATGATGTACGGGGACTTTGCAAAGGTTGTTTGAAAGATGCACAGAAGCATACTTCATCTTTAACTGTTATTTATTTATTTATTTATTTTTACTAGAAAAGAGATATTTACTGTAATAAGTACACAGAGGAAGTGGTGACAAATAGTAGTAGATCTTTTTCCCATATCCTTAAAAGTTCTTCTGAAATATGATGCAGATGTTGCACATGATTTCCATCAATTACAACATCCTAGAGATGCATTCACAAGCTGGCCACAACCTGGTTCTATAACCATTTCCATCCTTGAAAACTTGCTTGGGGTGCAAAACATCTGCCAGGATAGAGAATCTAGTCCAAGCCAAATATAATGAAATGGTTATACTTCATAAACTCTGAACCTTTGGACCAGAGACAGTGACTGTTTTATTGGTCTAGTGAGGCTCTCTGACACCATATGGGATCTGAATTTCTCACCATTTAACAATTTGTTGGAACCACAGAGACCCTAGAATGCCATTGAAGATGACTGAAAATATAAAATTAATTATAATTACATGTATGAAACCCCAAACACATTATGCTGACGTGGTGGTGAGAAATAAATGCAATCACTTCCTCATCAAATGCTAGCCTTTTCCTATACAATCTGTGGTTTAATAAAAGCTATTCTCATGGTTTGTGATTTTTCAGAGTAAACCAGATTAAGCTGCTGTAGGACCAGAGACAGTGACTGTTTTATTGGTCTAGTGAGGCTCTCTGACACCATATGGGATCTGAATTTCTCACCATTTAACAATTTGTTGGAACCACAGAGACCCTAGAATGCCATTGAAGATGACTGAAAATATAAAATTAATTATAATTACATGTATGAAACCCCAAACACATTATGCTGACGTGGTGGTGAGAAATAAATGCAATCACTTCCTCATCAAATGCTAGCCTTTTCCCATACAATCTGTGGTTTAAAAAAGCTATTCTCATGGTTTGTGGTTTTTCAGAGTAAGCTGCTGTAGCTGTAAGGATTACTTTTACACTACCTTGGAGTTTGGTGAATTTGTGAACCCCATTGGCCTAATTGTATGGACAAAACATTCTTCAAAATATCTGTTCCATAGAAGAAATTCAAAAATAAAAAAGAGCTGCGTGACCGTTAGTAAATGATCTAAGTAAACGATGGCAGAATTCATTCATTCATTCATTTTTTTTTTCTTCCTTCTTCTATGCAGTTTCTAGAGGTTTCTGGATGTTTGCTTGACAAGAGAGCCCGATGCCATGCATTAACCATTGATGATTGTGTCCAGACAGGGATCCCAAAAGGATTTTTTTTATTCTGGCATGCTGGTGAGAAATAAATGCATTAATTTACTTATCAACCATAAACATGCTAGTCTTTCCCCACAATCTATGATACAAATAGCTTTCTCGTGGTTTATCCCAGTAAAGTGGCTGCGTGACCGTTAGTAAATGATCTAAGTAAACGATGGCAGAATTCATTCATTCATTTTTTTTTCTTCCTTCTTCTATGCAGTTTCTAGAGGTTTCTGGATGTTTGCTTGACAAGAGAGCCCGATGCCATGCATTAACCATTGATGATTGTGTCCAGACAGGGATCCCAAAAGGATTTTTTTATTCTGGCATGCTGGTGAGAAATAAATGCATTCATTTACTTATCAACCATAAACATGCTAGTCTTTCCCCACAATCTATGATAAAAATAGCTTTCTCGTGGTTTATCCCAGTAAAGTGAGTGAGCACAAATTGTGTGTGTGTGTGTGTAGGAAACTCACACAGGGTTGACACACTCCCTCTGGGCATTCTGAACGCCTATACCGCATGTCCTGGTGCACCTGGACCACTCGCTCCATGAATCCCAGCTACCATTCACGCTTTTAGGCTGGAAGCCCATCTCCACACACTCCCCGTCAAAACACCACTCCAAAAAAAAAAAAAAACATAACCAAGACTTTGAGTTAGTCAGAGGAATTCAAAAGGAGAACTACGTACATGGTGAACTTCATGCAGGGAAATGAAAAGCCCACAGAAAGCCTGGCTTGCCTTGCCCTCTCCGCACTTGGTCCCATCCACAACACCATCCAGCCTCGAGTGGCAGGTTGAGCCCACTGTGCACCACAGGGTGCTGCAGATATTCTGAAGGGTACAATCATTTAAGAATAATTCAGAATAGTTCAAAGCTACATAAAATGTTATTATAAATGTTGTAGAATTCCTCTTAATTCTTAAGTAAGTCTTAATTCCTTATCTATGGAAGCCCATTTTTGCCACTGAATGAAATAAATAAATAAATAAATAAATACAAAAGGTAATTGTAATTTTTTTTTTTAAATCTTACAATTCAGTCTTTTTATATTTCATAGTTTGGATTTTTAAAGAGAAAACAACCTATATAGAAACTCACAATTCTGAGTAAAAAAGTTTCAGAACTGCAAAATATAAACTGAGAATTCTTTCACGCAATTGTGAGTTCATATCTCACAATTCTGACTTTTTTCTCAGAAATGCAAGATAAAAGTCTGAATTGTAAGATATACACTAAGAATTACAAGAAAAACAAGATTATTTTATCCTGTGGCAGAAGAAAAGCTTATCTGTGTTCATTTTGTGTTAAATTGTTTTATACCATTTTAACAAAAGTTATGTTAAGTGTCAAGTGGTGTAACCATTAAATAACATATTTTCGGAATCAAGTGTTCATATTTTCAAAATGTTAGTTTGTACTAAAAAAAAAAAAATGATGACATTTTTATTTTACTATATGTACCAAAAGAACATTATGTTAGTTTGCCTATATACAGTAAGCAGTTTTTAAGCTGTTGATGTTAAACTTATTTGGCTTGCAGTCTGCAGTGGAGGGGCTCGAGGAAGCAGCTTCAACTTCAGTTTTGATACCCCAAGGGACTACTAGTGCTTGGATGTTTGGATGGATACTTAAATTATGTTGGTGGCATTGAGGAGGCAGCAGGATGCTGAAACAGCTGAAGCTGGAGCAAGGTGAGTGCTGCTCAAGCTCCAGCACTTAATTAAAAGACTAGAATTCAATTTAGGAATTTCACCAATTAACACCAAAAAATTACCAATTAGTAAAATATAAAACATTTAATTGATAAACAAAAATTATAGAACACAGCCATATAGTAAGTGTTTTCTTAATATTTGTCTGCAAGTATAATATTTTTTCAAGACTTTTAGCTCGTTTTAAATGCTGTACAAAAATATTTTCATCACAGAACGTCATTATCAGTAAAAATTGTATTATTATTTTTTAATGTGCTTTTTGAATAGATCTAGACATAACTAAAGAGTTTCACATCCCTGACATTTCAAATGTCACATTGAAAAACTATAAAACCACATGTGCTTAATTTGAGGCCTACTCTGGAATCCTGAAATGCATGGAGTTATGTACTGTAAATTGTTTAATGTTCTCCTAAACTTTTGGAAAATGGCAAACCTTGTGTGTTGTGCACCAAACACAAACATTCATTGCATTTCTTAACCTCTGCAATTTCCTCTTGTGTCATTTCTTGAACTGTAACAGCCCTGATAAGGAAATTGAAGTCTGACTTTATCTGTGTCCGAATGACAGAGTGCCAACTCTTTTGCTGTGTCTGTGACATTTGGCCAATAATTGAAAGATGCCCAGTATCTGCCAACAGTTGCTGCAGAAAGCACAGAGCACATCACTGATGTGATTTGACATCACAGACAACAATTCTGCAATCTGATGCCATTTTCCCTATTTTAATTCTGCAGGATGCCAAATGTAAATGAGCTATGTTGGCTTCCCCCCTCATTGTTCAGCTAGCTTAGGTAAAACAAATTGTAATTTCAAGGTAGAGCTCTTCGTGTTGAACTGTTTACAAAGTTCTTCTATTTGGAACATAAGACCTGCTAAACTAATGATGTGCTTTTTCCCACTAAAACAGCTGGGAATCAGATGGTCCTGATGTAAGTAGAAACTGACACTTCCTCTGTGATGGAAAAGTGTGTGTGTGGTCTATGCCTTACCAGACACTTGAAGTAATAGAGGTTTTTGTTGAACTGTTCACAATTTAATAGTGAGAAATTTAAAGCAGCCCATGGGCCTGGAAGTACATGAGTTGCCTAAAGAAATAGTTTCCAAATGAGATCAAATTCAGAACAGATCTCTTTGTTGAAAAGACCAGCATGGCTGGCTATTGTGTTTTGGGTGCTGGTATTTCCAACCAAATATATTAAGTACACTGAAACATACATATAAAACATACATTTTATTATAGTAATAGTGTAGTAATGTTTTTTTGGTGTATTCATTACCGTTTGCATGACCACACTATTACTACAAGTACCATGGTTAAACTATGGTTAGTATAGCAAAACCATGGTTAATTTGTGGTTACCATGGTTTAACTATAATGACCATAGTTATTTGGTTTTATGTGTAGTAAAATGGTTAATTTTCATAAGGGATGTGCTATTGCTTGCTAAAAGTTTGCTAGCTATCTTATAAACAGTGATGTGACAATACATAGGCCATATTTTTTAATATAAATTTAATTTATTAAATCCTGTCATGAAACCATGTAAAATCACTTTTACACTACTTAATTTGTTCACTTCAAAATAACTTCATTAAATGATGTTGAATGATTAAATGATGCAAATCCAACACACTTTTTTTCAGTGTATAAACTTTATAATGAATTATCTTTTTACTTTGTTTGAATGTTTTTGACTTTGATAAAAAATAGATGTTTTTTAAATCAAAATTTAAGGTTTGAACCAAAATCTATTTTTTTAAAATGGGTCCAAAGTATATTTTTTTCCAGTGCACTTTTAGGATAAGTTGCCTTTGTGTTCCTTTGAAGCTTGAAATGCTCCAGTTCCCATTCTTTGTAACTGAATGAAAAAAGCGACCATTTTTCTTTCTTTCTTTTGTGTGTGTGTGTGTTACAAAAGAAATTCATGCACAGAAACTACATTATCTGAACTTTGGCTTCACTGTCAGAAGCACTTATATATTTTTATTAGGTTAAATTATAGCCTACAATTTATTTACAGTTCCTAGCAGATGTGTGGTTCAGAATGTCTTGCTCCATCTGTATTTCATAAACAGATAATTTAAGCCCTCTGTCTGCACTTGTGTACACTTCTGACCCATTTTTCTTAGCAGTTTGGCATCAGTCAGCTGTCTGCTGGGGGAATCAGAGTTATTTGTGGGTTCGAGGGAAAATCTTACATCTACATCGTCACAGAGCAGTGAGCTGGATCCATACTGGAGCTTGCACTGATGAGCAGCGCTGTACAGGACGCCAGGGGGAGCAGAGTGCATCTCAAGATCGTTTCTGACAGGAGGGTCATCCAAACACCAGCCCCAGCCTCGACTGTGAGGAACATGACAAAAACACACCACATGCAGAAAATACTTAGGCAAAGGTTTCTGGTTTAAGTGCAATTCATTCTCAGATTAGTACTTTTATAGGCTGAAATATTACATTATCTTAACTGAATAGCCTCTAAGATCTTGATGTATTTCAATATTCTTTAATAGATCAAGGGCCAAATTTACTGCTTGGCTTGCGCCAGCACAAACCCTCCTTTGGCATAAAAAAAACACTTTCAGGATTTACTAAAGACACATAATGAAAAATGAATGATGAAAGGGCATGGACGCTGTTATTTTTGTGGCTTATTGCATATGCTTTGAAGGAGTTCCCCTTTTAGATGCAACATTTATGGGAGGAGTGTATTTAAATGAATCAACGTGACTTTCTAAGGTTTGAGGTAATCAATGTACAAGTATTTGTGCCCAAAAAAGCATTTTGCACCTGACATGGTGACGATAGCCAGGGGCGCATTATTAATGCACGGGCTACAAGGGGCTGAAGCCCAGGGGCCTACACTGGAAAGGGGGCCCACTGGCTGCAGGGAAATTATATTTTTTGAATAATTATTTATATGGGAGTTTGCAGCAGTGACAACAGCGTTCTGTAAACAAACTCACACACTCATTTTTAACGATGCCCTGGTTGTAGTAGCCTATATAGTGAATGGCTCAGTTTAGGTTCCC